GGCACTTGTGGACTCTGCATATACAACCCATAAATTTCTATGTCATTAATAGTTGAACAGATTTTGATATACCAATGTTGATATAATTTCAGACAAAAGCAAAAGAAACATATTTAAAGTAATCTTACTGATTTTGTTTAGGCTCTTCAAAATAGTAGAAAATAATCTGCAGGGTCCACTTAGTGTTTAGATCTAGGCTAGAATTTTAACAACTTCATTAAGATTCTCCAGAGACTCGGGAGTCTCAGGTTTAAAACCAATGCAACTAACTGTATCACATAATCACCCTGGTGTTCCCAAAAGAAAATAGTGACAATGTGCAATAGTTGTACAAACTAACATGACTAAGAAAAATCTCAAGGGAATATGTAAAGGAAATCACACTACTTTTCAGACATACACATTAAAAACTATGAAAATCGTTAACTCTTTATCCAATCTAAATTCCTCTGCTCAAAGGAAAATAATAGAAACCTAGAGTGATTCATAATTCTGCATTTTGTTTGAATTAAGATTAGACATTAGTGTATTAACATACCCTTCATTATTAAGTTATTTCAATACATATAGTTTTTAGTAATTTCATAACCTTTAGTTTTAGATAGATAGGATTTACATTTTCTTCCTAAGAAGAAAAAAAATTACTTGTTGGTTAGTTTGGGTACAAAATTCTATTCTCATCTTTAAGGTACACAGAATATGTGACAGTAGATTACATTTACTTTTTAAGCCAAACCAGATGCTTAATGAATAAAAAGATAATTATATTGGTCTTTAAAAATTAATCCTTATTTTAACAACATCTACTGGGAATAGTGCATTGATTGAAAGTTTGGATTTTTATTTTCCTTTTGCTCTGTTTTTTTCCTTTTGCTCTGGTCATTATTCTCTACCCCATGCCTCTTGATTTCAAATAGAGATGCTACTGCCTTTTATAACTGAAAAATCAGCATTCATTTAAGTTGTGAGTCATGCTTACTTTATAAGAGAATTTATCTGTTATAGAATTATTCTTTTAGCAAACAATTTTTGGGAGATTATCACTGTGTTAGAATTTGAGTCTTCAAGATATTGCCCACTATTATTTAAATGGAATCTACATACTTTGACTTTCTTGGATAAGCCACTCTTTTAGTTAGGCCAATAAAAGATTAAAATTCCAAATCTGTTCTTAAAAAAAAATACTTCACAGTTTCATAAAGCAAATGGAGTGAAAATCATTTGTAATTTCAGTCAGATTTCATTAAAAAAAAATAACTGGTATAAAAGAGAAATGACTTTTCTCCCACATCTAATAAAATAATATAGCATTTCAGCATAACAAATAAATATTGTTGAAGATGATACCATTTAATAAAGAATTATTTAGAAAAGTTGGTTGTCTTCATTAGATTGCATATTAAAAAGGAAATCCAAATGGTATATTTTATAGATCTTGTTCTCACCATAGCTGGTAATCTTAAAGAGTAAAAGGACAATCTACGATATTATATTATAGTAAACATATAAAATGTGATGTTTAATATTATAAACAAAATAATGTTTAATATTATAGTCGTTGACTTAAAAAAATAGATGCACAAAGGTAAATGAACAAGAAATCTTTTAGCTTAAATACAGCCCAGTTGATAAAAAGCTACAGAGGGAAAGTGCTTCTGGTGATTATTTCCAGAGTATTCTGTACTCTTGGTGATAAATCATGGCATTTATATGTCGTTATAATTTGTAGTTGCCTATTTTGTCTGTTTGCAATAGCAAGAACAATGTCTACTGCTCACCACTGCTTTCCCAGCCCTGGCAGAGAGAGGCAAGGACTGCCTTTCTTTATAAACATGAAGTTCAGAAAATTTGAGCAACTTCCTTAAGTTAGTGTGGTTATTAAGCAGAGAAGCCAACATCTGAATCCATGTCTCCTATTATCAAGTGTTCTTTCTACTGATGATCATTCAAAACCATATTGTATTTCTGTTGTAAAGAAAATATATTTGCATATATATTTCTTCACATGATAAACTGCATGTCTAATCTGAAATGTAGAAGAGGATTTCTATGGGGTTTAATAGGTACTAAATTATAAATATCAGCACCAAGATGCAGTAACAGTAACAATGTCAAACTCATTAGTGTTACAATTTTATGCTGGATATAATCCTGGAATGTCTCACATGTATCTCAGATTGAATACATTCAAAACCACAATGTATTAACTCCTTTCTCTTACCCTCAAAATGAGTTTCTTCTCATATTATTCCTTAATATAGTTAATAACATCACCCTTGACCCATATCTCAAATTAGAAGCCTGGCATTTGGACTTTTCTGCCCTAAATTTTTATGATACAAAATAAAAATAAACAATTCACCTAGAATAGATTTAAGTGCTAAAACCTATGGTCCTTGCAATCTGATTCAGTAGGCAAAGGCAAAAAAAAAAAAAAAATTTAAAATAAAAGTGAAGTAATATCTGAAGTTGGATTATGAAGTCACTGGATTAGGCTTTCATGTAGTAATGAAGTTTTAGTTCTGAGAGTTCTTGACTGGTGATAATTGGCTGGTGACAACTGTGTTTAAAGTGGTCATTACTAAAAAAAAGATACAAAAATAAAGCGGTCATTATTGCTGAATATAATTCTCAAAACCTCCACCCAACACAAAAGCTTTTGTTTTGCTTTTATTCATCCTTCATATCCCACGTGAAGTGTTCTCTGATAATCCTATCTAAGTAAGGTTTTCCTCTTATTTTCTATCAGTATGACTTTTTCATTTCTGCTTAGCATAAATTTCAATTTAAAACTGTTATGGTGAAATTATAATTATTAGAATGATTTATGTTTACCTACCTATTTATTTTAATAAACCATCAACTAAACTGTAAACTCCAAGGTCAGAGATTATATCTGTCACTGTTATAGAAACACATATTATAGTATCTAGTTTAGATTTAATTAAGCAGTCTTATAATTTGAGACTTGCAATAGATTAATTTGACTTTCTTCACTTCCTCTAAAAAAAAATCAATATTCAAACTAGTTTTTTATTATATTAGTATTCTGGTTCAGCCTTAGAAGTTTAATTTTAAAATTACACTGAAGTGCTAATTTTACCTTTGAGCTATATATTCTAGGTAAAAATTATCTAAAAGGAAAAGAACCTTATTCCTAGGTAAAAATACAGAAAAAAAAATCCTAGAAAAAAAAAGATACCCAAATACACTGCTTTATTTGAATTCATTGTTATTTTGAACATCTAAGTGATAACTAAGGAAAAAATATTAAGACAAGCTATTTGTTCTCCTTAAGTTTTGTAATGAGCAAATTAACTTAATAGATGTTAATATTTTAATTTTTATCATTTCACTTTAGTAAATTATAATTTTAGGATAGCATTTAATATTTTTTTGTAATTGGGATATAATTACAAAGTTTTAAAAAGGCTCAAGAACTACTATGTTTAATTAAATTTAGCATAGATATTTATGTTCATGGTATATTATTAAGGAAAAGAATACTGCATCTTGAATAGTCCCATGTTCCCAACATTTAGGTCTTAATATTTGGTGAATGACTAAACATTTATACTGGACCAAACTTTTAGCTTTATTTTCCAGACTTCAGAAATAAGTATGGCTTGTTCAGTTGGGATTTAATGTAAACAATAAATTCTTTTGTTTTAAAAATTCAAAAGACATGAATAAGATTCTTCTAACCAATTCAAGTCTTAGAACTCCATGTTTTCATTCAGTTGAAGATGCACCTGAATGGTACCTGAATGGCATTAATACCTGAATGGCATTAACATATATTTTATGTCTAGAATGTTCTTATAGTTTTTCTTCATTGAAGATTTAGAACCATAATTTTTTAAACTATAAAATCATATTGGTTATATTTGACACAAATCTAAAAGCGATGATATACAACAGTAACACTGTGAGACTCTGCTGAGAAGGTTGTACCATGGTATGTAAAAGCAACTGCACTACATATATGAAGAACTGCTTGAGATCACTTCTAAGTTAAGTCAGTTATAACATTCTTAAAACTCATGAAAAAGTTGGATTTAAGGAAGACAGCTATATAAGTTGTAAATCTGATGACAGAGAAGAAGCCACAGTTTGAAAAGTTACCTGCAGATCCCTTGAATAAATTTAGTGTACAGCTGATATCTAATACCATATCTTGTTAAATAAGAAGGAATGTCACTGTTAATCTTTTCATGTTAATATTGGATCCATCTTATAGAAAACTTGAAAGCACAAATGACTAACTTAACCAGGAAAGGGACATTCCAAAAGAAAGCAGTTACAGCCACAATTATATCTGCTACTTAATTTATCATACATCAAGATGTGAGGCAGCAAATAAATGTCTAATCCTCTTTAACTCCCACACATGATTCAGTACTTGGGAAAAATTATAAGAAATAAATACTAAAAAATTTCCTTCCTCCCCCAAAGGTTGGCATTAAAACTTTCCTTCTAATCAATTTAGATTTGTTTCCAAATATTAGGCAGCAACATTCCAAGTTGATTATGTTTGAAAAAATTTGGAATGATACTAGAGCAGGGAGTTACCCCAGCCTGGACAAGCTAAAAAAAAAAAAAAAAAAAAAATTCCTTTTGGTGACATTTTTTTATTTTGTTAATCTTACTTTTTATCAGCCAGAAATGCATTCATCCTTTGCATAAACAAATAACTTCACATCTATACTGATGAGTATGCTAAAAAATAACAAGTCTAAAACAAAGAAACAGGAGCTACAGAAAATACCTGTAGCGGTGATGTAGGAGTAGACATTTTACATGAAATTTCTATTGTCTTACTGTTGGCCTAATTTGAGAATCTGTGAAACAGTAAGTGGTAATTATCTTATAGTCCATTCATTTTTTTCACTGCATTATCTTGCATGCAATCCAACCTTGACAAGTAGAGGGAAATAGTGGTTAAACTTCCCAGACTCGTATAGTAGGACAAGTTTAAGGTGCCAAGGAACTGTACCTACTTTTGGTGTTGGGCAGGAAGCTGTAGAAAGGCGAGATGTAGCCTGAGCACGAGGCGATTCTGAAGGAGTAGTGCTGAGGGAAGCAGTGTCTCGTGGGAGCACCTGAACGCCACGAGATATGATGGAGTCTGGAATCTGAACAAGAAAAACAAGGACAGTTTAATGTTCTGAAAATATCAACAATATTAAAATCAATGCCCTACTTTATTTATTTATTTATTTATTTATTTTTGGGGGGCATTCTTTGCTGAGTAGCTCTCATATATTTTGGTCTCACTCACTGTTAAGTATAAATGCATCCAACAATTTGGGATAGGAGAGAAAACTTCAGTTTTAAAATACTTTCTCTTGCCAAACAGTATTTCATGACACTTTTTTATGAGAGGCAGTCTAGCGTTGTAGTTAAGGAGTAAAGTGTTGGGGCACCTGGGTGGCTCAGTGGATTAAAGCCTCTGCCTTCCACTCAGGTCATGATCCCAGGGTCCTGGAATTGAGCCCCACATTGGGCTCTCTGCTTAGCAGGGAGCCTGCTCCCCCCCCCCCACCCTGCCGCCTGCCTCTCTGCCTACTTGTGATCTCTGTCTGTCAAATAAATAAATAAAATCTTTAAAAAAAAAAGAGCAAAGTATTCAGCATTCATGTACTGGCTCTGCCATTTAATACTTATTTGAATCCAAGATTCATTGTTTATGTACAACACCCAGAGCTCCATGCAATACATGACCTCCTTAATGCCCACCACCAGGCTCACCCCCGCCCCCAAAACATTCAGTTTATTTCTCGGAGTCCACAGTCTCTCATGGTTCGTCTCCCCCTCCAACTCACTTTTCCTTTCCTTCAAAAACTAATGATGTATTTTATGGTGACTAACATAACACAGTAAAAAAAAGAAAAATTTAATTCCTAGATATTTTCCATTTTCCTTTCAGATTCTCCACTCTTTATCCTCTTGACTCTAAGCTGACCTGTACAGATAGAATCAACAGGCTACTCTGTGCTCTCTAGTTTCTAGTTGGGTTCAACCAGTGCCAGGAAACTGAAAGGTTAGAAGAGAGTAGGGTCTGATCTTTATTCTCCTGGCTCCTTCTCTACCAGGTTACCACAGGTTGGCTAAGTCACAGCTCCTGGTCAGGTTGGCTCAGTCAGAGACCCTGGTCACCTGACGGGCTTGCAGCTCTTTTCTGGATTTCAGTAGCAGTTCCCTCCCTTTGCCCCATTAGGACTACGGATATTGATGGTTCCCAGTATTGCTAGTCCCAGGGCACTGCATTGTGTCTTGCTGTTTTCTCTAAAATCTGCCCAAACCTTTGTAAACACTATAGTTCCTTATTAAACTCTTCTTAATTATCCATTTAACTATACTATGACTTCTTTGGGGACACTGATCGTTCTGCTTTTTAAATCATCATTTCCTTTACCTAAAAAAAAAAAAATGAAGATAACAATAGCATCTACCTCACTGGATCACTGTTGAGGATTAAATAAGATAATGCATATAAATTATCTAGCACTACAAAGTATTAAATACTCAATAAATATTGACTATAATTACTGATATTATTATACTATACCTATCAACATGGTAAAAATCGACATAATTGACTATCACTATTCTAAAAATATATGAACATAAGGACTAATGTGGATTATTAATTTAAAAATTATTATTTATGTTGATTATAAAATTATTATTTCAGGCTATGTATAATTTAGTTCTTGTTCTGGGCTAATACTAATGGGTTTAGGTTTTCTAATCTCAAAATGAGAATGTGACCACTTTTAAGTTTTGAACACAGAGGGGACACATACAGGTAAGATAAAAAGATAAGCAATTAAAATTCAACTGGTAAATATCACTTACTATGTGAAAACAAGGAAGCAGCAACTAGACTTTATGACTAGAAAGGTGCTCTTGCTCTTAGGTATCATCTGTTTCCTCACAAATTTTCATAGAAGCTCTTTTATTTTGTTTCCATACCAATATCCTCATTATCAATGGTATCGCTACCATTTTAGGGCCTAACAATTTATGTGACTTATAAATAGTATTACCATACTTAGGGTGAATAGCAGTGGGAATCCTGAGAAGAAAAACTGCTCACCTGCTAGCACATTTGAGTACTAAATTGAGAAAAATAATGTAAAGAAATGGAGGTAGATAGTCCAATTTAAAAGAGCCACATGTTTCCATTAATGTCTAGTAAAAAAAAGGCCATGTATTGGGGAAAAAACTCCAAGAAAGCTCCTATTATACTTCACATGACACCATGGCCCTCTAGTTCATAGCAATTTCCAGTTATACTACATTTATATGTGTGATAGTTTGATCAACATCTATCTCCCGTACTAGAATGCTGTCATGATGAAACCATGCTTTTGCTACTATTTTATGTCCAGTACCTAAGAAAGCACATGCACAAAGTAGTATGTATGTATGATATATAGATTTTCAGACTTGCAAACATATGTGTACATATACTACACATCTTTCTCTCTGTGTATGAATGTAAACAGGACATCAGGATATTTCAGGGGAAAGATAAGCTTAAATTTGAAGTACATTCTTTGAGGCTAATAGTCTGGAGATACTCAATGAGCAATTAGAAATATGAGCCTGGAGCACAGGAAAAATTTACAGATTAGATATATACTTTGGGAATTATCAATGGAAGTGAATGTTTCAGTCATGCATATGTCTCAGATCATCCAAGAACAGTATGTATAGGAACAAAAGATGATGGCTGATAATTCTAGGTGAGCTCCATATTACAGGCTTAACAGAAGAAAAAATTAAGGGGAAAAACAATCTGTTAATGAAAAAACAGTACATCCTATTTTTGCTATGTTGAACAATCAGGATTTAAATCTATCACACTGATCAATTATTAAATAGCATATCTTTTCACTTTCAAAAGTACTTCACTTTGGGAGATAAATTATTTAGTTTTCATATATTTAAGAAACTGTTAGACACAAAAGAGAAAATCAAGACAGAGTGAACCTAAGGGAAGGGAAAAGAGAAGAAACTTTCAAGGAGATCTCATAAAATATCAACTATGGAGAGAAGATAAGTAGGGTGAGACTTGCAAAAAAGCCATTGAGAACTGGAAAGACTCCACCAAAAAACTGCTAGAATTCAGTAAAGTTGCAGGAAAAAAATGAATGTACAGAAATCTGTGGCATTTCTATACACCAAAAAGAGAATTGAAGGACTCAATACCATTTGTAATTGTACCCAAAACAATAAGATACCTAGTATTAAGATGAACCAAAGAAATGAAAGACATGTACTCTGAAAACTATAAAACATTGGTGAAAGAAACTGAAGATAACACAAACAAATGGAAAAACATTCCATGCTCATGGATTGGAAGAACAAATACTACTAATATGTTTATACAATACAAAGCAATCTACATATTCAATGCAATCCCTATCAAAATACTAACAATATTTTTCACAGAACTACAACAAAGAATCCTAAAATTTGGGGCACCTGGGTGGCTCAGAGGATTAGCGTCTGCCTTCGGCTCAGGTCATGGTCCCAGGGTCCTGAATATGGGAGCCCCATATCAGACTCTCTGCTCAGTGGGGAGCCTGTTTCTCCCTCTCTCTCTGCCTGCCTCTCTGCCTATTTGTGATCTCTCTCTCTGTCAAATAAATAAATAAATGAAATCTTAAAAAAAAAAAATCCTAAAATTTATATGGAACCATAAAAGACCCCAAATAGCCAAAGCAACCTTGAAAAAGCAAAGCAAAGCTGGAGGCCACACAATTCAAGACTTCAAGTTATATCACAAAGTTATAGTGACCAAAACTGTATGGTACTGGCAAAAAAATAGATACATAGATAAAAGGAACAGAATAGAAAACCCAGAAATGAATTCATATCTATATGGTCAATTAGTCTTCGACAAAGCAGGAAAGACTATCCAATGGGAAAAAGAGAGCCTCTTCAACAAATAGTGTTGAGAAAGCTGGAGAGCAACATGAAAAACAATGAAGCATAAACAATGAATTCTAGAACACTGAGAATAAGTAAAAATAAATAAATAACAAAAATTAAAAAAAAATGAAACTGTACCATTTTCTTACTCCATAAAAAAAATAAACTTAAAATGGATTAAAGACCTAAATGTGAGACTTGAAACCATAAAAATCCTGGAAGAGAACACAGGCAGTAACCTTTTGACATCAGCGGTAGCAACTTCTTTCTAGATATGACCCCAAAGCAAGGGAAATAAAAGCAAAAATAAACCATTGGGACCTCATAAAAAAAAAAAAAAGTTTCTGAATAGTGAAGGAAACAACAAACAAACTAAAAAGGCAACCTACAGAATGCAAATGTTTGCAAATGACATATCTGATAAAGGGTTAGTATCCAAAAACTATAATGTATAAAACTCAACACCCCAAGAACAAATAATGCAATTAAAAATGGGCAAAGACATGAATAGACATTTTTCCAAAGAAGATATACAGATGGAAAAGAGACACATGAAAAGATACTCAACTTCACTTCATCAGGGAAATGCAAATCAAAACTACAATGAGATATCACCTCACAACTCTCAGAAGAGCTAAAATCAACAATAAGAAACAACAGGTGTTGGCGAGGATGTAGAGAGATGGGAATCCTCTTACACTGTCAGTGGGAATGAAAATTGGTACAGCGATTCTGGGAAATGGTATGGTGGTCCCTCAAAAAGCCAAAAATAGAACTACTCTACAATATAGCAATTGCAATACTAGGTATTTAGCCAAAGAATACAAAAATACTAAAAGGCTTACATGCACCCTGATGTTTATAACAGCATTATCTACAACAGCCTAATTATAGAAGTAGTCCAATGTCCATCAATTGATGAATGGATAAAAAAGATGTGGTATACACACACACACACAGACACACAGACACAGACAAACACACTATGGAATATTACTTAGCCATAAAAAGAATGAAATCTTGCCATTTGCAATGATGTGGATGGAGACAGATGGTATTATGCTAAGTGAAATAAGTCAGAGAAAAACAAATACCATACAATTTCACTCATATGTGGAATTTAAGAAACAAATCAAATGAGCAAAGGGGAAAAAAAAATAGATGGGGGCTAACCAAGAAACAGATTATTAATTATAGAGAACACAGTGGGGGTAACAAGGGGGGGGTAAGGGGGGGGGGGGGGGGGGGGAGGTATGGGTAAAATAAGTGATGGGGATTAAGTAGTGTACTTGCTGTGATGAGCACTGGATATTGTATGGAACTACTGAATTATTATATTGTAGATCTCAAACTAATATTACACTGGAATAATTAATGAATTATTAATGAACTGGAATTTAAATAAAAATCTTCAAAAAAGCCATTTGATCTGGCAATTAAAGAAGTTACTAGTATAGTAAAAAGGGCAGAAGTGAGTTGAGGAAGCAAGTGGGATGATAAAGCAGGGTAATTTGTAAGAAAAGAAGGGAGACATTCACTATTTTTCCTTCCTTTGGTTCTTGAAGTGAAGACCTATTAATGAGAAAAATGGGGAAATATAAGTGGGAAAAATAAGTTTAGGAGAGTGATCAATATTGGATATATGCATTGGTGAATAAACAGGGAGGATAACTAAAGATTAGGGGAAGGAATTATCAACAATGTGGATCCAGTTAATATTGGCAACCATAAATTTGCAACGTCATTAAGTAGCCTAGGATTAAAAATTTTCCACCTTCTCAAAAAATAAACTTACACAAAAGATGAAGACTTAGAAATTCTTTGCAAATATATGGTTGTGAAAGCTGCAGAAATAGATGAGATCCTAAAGATACATATAGATAAAATTTAACAAGCCATAAAAAGGAAAAAAGAACAAGATGGAGGTAGTTAATAGTTGTCTGAGAGACAGCTATTTCATTATTTGATGAAGATAGATACCTGATGACAAAAGGTAAAAAAAAATTGGAGGTAAGGAAATGGAGGCAGTGAAAATGGATTACTCAGCTGATGGGCATTTGTACTGTTTCTATTTTCTGGGGATATATAAACAATGTTACTATGGACATTCTAGTATTATCATGTGTCCTACATTCATTAATTTTAGGAGATATACATATACACACATATATATGTGTATATATATATATATATATATATATATTCAGGAACAGAATTGCTGGATATTGTGTAGCCATACCCTTTTACAGATTTCCAAATTGGTTAAGCCAACTTATATGTCTGTCAAAAGAAAATGGTGATAGTTCTTCCTACTCTAAAACATATCTCTATCTAGTATTGTCAATATAAGCAATTTTTTAAATGTCTGGTAATAGTAATTGTTTTAATGTTCCTTTCCCCAACTGCTAAAGAGAAAAAGCATATTTTATATGTTTATCAGGAATTTAGATGTTCTTTTTTTTAAAAAGTACCTGTTTAAATCTTTTTGGCCAAATTTTCCCTTATTGGGTTGTCCTTTTTTACTGAATTGTTATTTTTAGTACATATTCTGGATACCTGTCCTTTATCAGTTTATATGGTGAAAACATCTATTCCTCTTCTGTAGCTTGTTGTCATTTTTTTTTTAATTTTATTTTTTATAAACATATATTTTTATCCCCAGGGGTACAGGTCTGTGAATCACCAGGTTTACACACTTCACAGCACTCACCATAGCACATACCCTCCCCAATGTCCATAATCCCACCCCCCCTCTCCCAACCCCCCTCCCCCCATCAACCCTCAGTTTGTTTTGTGAGATTAAGAGTCACTTATGGTTTGTCTCCCTCCCAATCCCATCTTGTTTCATTGACTCTTCTACCCCCTTAACCCCCCATGTTGCATCTCCTCTCCCTCATATCAGGGAGATCATATGATAGTTGTCTTTCTCTGATTGACTTATTTCGCTAAGCATGATACCCTCTAGTTCCATTCACGTCGTCGCAAATGGCAAGATTTCATTTCTTTTGATGGCTGCATAGTATTCCATTGTGTATATATACCACATCTTCTTTATCCATTCATCT